AACAATTTGTGGCCATTTAAAAAAGATCTAGAAAGCTCTAATTAGCTCTAAGAGCAGTTCAGTATCACAAGAAGCAAGATTAACAAACAGTTTACATCGTCAAAGAATTATTGTGTATTAGAGTCAACGACGCTATTTGTTAAATATGCTGCCTCCAACGGTATGGAACTGAGCATCGACATCTGAGAAAAATCCACTTACCATCTAGGCATCTCTTCCCACTCATATGGGATGTTAAAAAACTCTGTGAAGTAATAGGTGCCACAAATTAGAGGAAGTTGAATGAAAAAGTGATTGAAGAGGAGTGTTTTGAAACACTTCCACTGTTTTTCCCACGTTTCTGGTTTATCCTAAGAAGAAGCAAAAAGAGTCAGTTATGTTACATATTTCTATTGCACCTAACTGCAGAAACTACTTTGGAGACAGCTTCATTTTGCCTTGAAAGACAGGTAGCGGGTCCTCCAATAATACAAATTAACTGAGGATTGGATTCAGTTTCATCAAAACCTCTTGTTTTTCTAAGCTAGTTTTCTACAAAATTTAAAGTTAGCCTCTCTTAACAGAAGGCGTCTTTGCTAGTTGCCCTAAACTATTCTTGTTGTGTCAGTGCCTGTAATTAGCAGGAACATTTCACATTCAACAGTTTAACATAAATTTGAGTTTGCTTTTCTTCTTCACAGCACAGAATGTGTTTCCACAGTTAAAATAATACAAAGACAAGCTGAAGACATAAGCTTGCGAAGAAATAAGCTGCCTTGAAAACATCCAGTCTTTGCACGGAGACATTTCACCAGTTACTGTAGTAATTTCAGAAGCTGGTATTACCGATTTCCAATTCAGATTACAATGAACTGGGGGAAAACAATCATCTTTAGATACTGGATGTGCCTTTACTCCCAGCTAGGAGCGTCCAAGTCCATGCCAGGCTTTCTCCATTGTTAAAATACTTCAAAATCCTTCCAAGGGGATATGCATAGAGGTACTCTGAAAGAGACACTTGCTATTAAATAAGCATATCATGTAATTCTTTTGTAATACTAAGACGTACCTCTAACCACCAGATGCTACGATTCTTGCACCTTCCCCTGCTGACAGATAAACTATAACTTTGCTAAAAAAAAGATTTGACGTACCCTTTTCTCTCTATACCACCATGGTGGAAAGGGTACTCTCCCTCAGAAAAAAATCCTTTCCTTCCCCAAAATCCATTTCTCTTTAACGTTGTAATTTTGTTCTGTCACTTCCAGAATATGCGAGTGATAGAGGAAATGAGGTCGTATAAATTGGGAACTAGGATACTGCAGTTATATGTTCGACTTCACGAGTTCAAAGATAAATCAGGAATCGTGTAGTTCCCAACGTTGTCTTACCTGCTGAATTTTATACTTTTGCATGTACGGTATAAACTGGAAGACAAATCCAGGTACACAGAACAAGAAGTATGAAACTTCATGAACTATAAGCGATCCCCAAGTTGCAATCTGGAACTTTGTGTAGTTATCCAGCATGTAATTCCAGGCATTTTTAAATGGTTGCTGCAGGGGATTGTCAGGCAAGAAAGAGTCTATATATTCCACCGCCAGATAAGCAGAGTTCAAGATACTAATGCTGTCGTTCATTGCCATCGTTCAAACATAAACCATCACAATTACAGTTCTTCTACAGTTGTCGACAAGTAACCTGCAGATTTTGAGAAAAATGGAATAAACAGCAGTTAATTGTCAGAAAAAAAAACATTACCTATCTGTTGTTATCTAGTTTTAAAGTAAAAATAGGGAAGGGGAAGACAGATTCTGTTTGTACAGAAGAGTGTAAAACAGCAAAGCTTAAGACTGGTTTGAGAGGCAAATCAATCTGAGGGGCAATCAGCTCTCAATTTTGAGATTAGGTCAAGGGAGCAAGACGATAAAGAAATATTAATTATTATCCAATCTTATTTCAAGGGTTTTTTTGCAGGATAATTGTATTCTGTACTAAAAGAGCATAGAAAAGCTCAAGTCAGATTTAGAAATTAAGTTAACCGTGATCTCTCAATTATCAAGCCTCATTCTTCTCATAGCTGTAAGAATCTACGCAAACTAGATCAACATAGCAGACTGCCTTTAGACTGCAGCTGGCTTGAGGTAGTCCATGTCTCCATAAGTAATGGAGTTTTCATCACAGCTCGCAAAAGCACAGCAGCAGCGTTCCCACGAGGTGCCCCGAACTTCTGCCATTTCCACAGAGTAGGCTGCTGTTTGGTTTGGGTTGGAAGGGACCTTAAAGCCCAGACAGTTCCAACCCCCTG